TTCTTTCTTTCTTTCTTTCTTTCTTTCTTTCTTTCTTTCTTTCTTTCTTTCTTTCTTTCTTTCTTTCTTTCTTCTCTTTCTTTCTTTCTTTCTTTCTTTCTTTCTTTCTTTCTTTCTTTCTTTCTCTCTCTTTCTTTCACTCTCTCTCTTTCTCTCTTTTTCTCTTTTTTTCTTTCTCTCTTTCTCTCTTTGTCTCTTTTCCTCTTTTTTTCTTTCATAGTCACAATTTCTTTTGTGATGTCTCAGATTTCCTTTGGTGCACTCTGAGGAGGGTATCCTGTACATCCTGTTTGGTGCATATTTGTGAAGGTAGCACTTTTTCTAAATGTGTCTCATGGAACATTCAAATCTTAACCTTCTATGTTGCAGAGGATGTTTCGGTTCTGGAAAATGAGCTGACATTAAGATGTAAGAAATGACAGGAAGTGCTGAGCCGAATGCTGCCTTTCTTGGTTCTTCTTTTGCAGAAACATCTCTCAGCAAGTTACTCCTTACCAAGGTGTTGTCCCCAAACTTCTCAAGGTGAATGGGATGAGAGGATTGACAGGGCGAGCTGAGTTTCCTAAGGATGTTGGCTTATCTGTCCCAGATTTGGGAAATGCAGCTTACATTTTGTGGATAGTATCAGCAGCCCATTTTGTTTGGTGATGTGTTGCAGAGCCAGCACTGAAGGAATGGGAGGCAAGTGCAACCCTGGGATCAGAGTGGGGCTGTAGTGCTATTATAGTCACACAGTGCTTGCTGATTACGTGGTCTGAGCAGGTGCCCACGAGAGCAATGGCCTGCCTTTTTATCTTATATCCCAGTTCTGGGTTGCTTGATTCCACTAACATCAGGAGAACTTGCTGCCCAAATTTGGCCTTTCTAGTAAAATACACAAAACCTGCTTGTAAATCTTACCTGAGCATTAGCTGCTCCAGAGGGGCCTCTTTCTGGCACAGGCAGTGAGGCAGTGTTGGAACTTTAGTTAGATAATTTCATTTCTAAAAGAAAATCTAGTGCCTGTGAAAGGTCAAGCAGGAGCTCATGGCTAGTTCAAATGTCTGTCTTGGAGTACTTGCCAAAATTATAGCATGGGGAAAGAGAGACCTGTTTCATCCTTATTCTGCAACATATCTTCAGGCCTTGATGTAGAGGCAAAGCTCAGCTGGGACTCCCTTGCCTGTCAGCTCCCCTCTCTGTTCTGACTGACTGGGCACTGTTTCTCTAGCTGTGCCAGAACCTTGCAACGGGCT